TTGATCGCACTATGTTCTAATATAATTTTTCTTGATGCAAAAAATTTCGGATAATGATATGATTTTTTTTTTGTAAATGTAACAACTTTATTTTTTGTCTAAAACTGCATGAGGTATTAATAATAATTGTCATAACGGCCTTTAAATATACATTTAATACGCATCGGCATGAAAAACGGGCAATTTAAAATTTTGATGTATTTTAATGTTTTATATACAGGGTGCTACATATTCGAGGTAACTCGGTAGCCGTAATAGAGACCAACATGGTTAAATTGGGGCAAAGTTGCGCTTTGGGATGTTCACCAAGATGCCATCAAAAAGGTTTTAAAAATTTCAAGGATTGCTGAGTTTTTTGGAAGAAACGAATTTTTTTGAAAATTAATTTTATTTTTTCCTGTCGTTACTTTGAGGAAAATCAAAAAACTAATTGCATATTCTCATAGCCCCTTCACAAGGGCTATCTAATAGTATTTTTAGATTTTCAAATTAGCTGATAATTTGTGAGATACAGAGGCCATCTTAATATTTTTAAATACGGACTTGCATTTTTTATTTCGGATTTTTAAAGAACTCGGTCTCTTGAGTATAATGATATGCTACACTTAATGTTTTTTTTGTTTCGGACATTTGAACACAATTTATTTAAACTAATTTCAAGTCCGGCTCTGTTTTTTTTTTTAATATTTAATCTTTTCATCGTTACAATATTGATAAGCTTTCAAACTTAACAATGACGTAGGGTAAAACATTGAATATAGAAAATCAAATGCAATAAAACAATAAAAAATAATATACACATGAATACATTACTTCACGTCATTTGTAAAAGTGAAATCAATAACTTTCAACATTTACAATAAAGAGTACAAAATGCATTCAAAGTATAAGAAGAAAGTTCAAAGAGCTATAAATAAAATTGAACAAAAAATTAATTTGTGCAATAGGGAGGGTGGTAACCCTGTCGAACATGTAGAGCATAAGAAACTAGTTTGTAGAAGATTTATTTATAATAACTACGATTAATATTACGCATATTTATTAGATCGCATACTGAGATTTTAAATTCACAATAAAAAATAATATCTTTAAATTGCTGACCTGGATATAATTTATTTGAATCTTCCAATTGGCTCGATTTTCCTTATTCAATGTTAATTAGGGCTGATCAATATTGTTGCGATGAATATAATCAGATAAAACAATTTAAAAAACCAGGGTCGGACTTGAAATTATTTTAAATAATAATTAAATAGTTTAGTTGTTGTTAAGGTACCCAAAACAAAAAAAGTATAAAGTGTGGCATATCGTTATACTCAGGAGACCAAGTTTTTTCAAAATCTGAAATAAAAGATGCAGGTCCGTATTAAAAAAAATTAAGTTGACCTCTGTATCTCATAAATTATCAGCTGATTTGAAAATCTAAAAATACTACTAGATAGTCCTAATAAAGTGGCTATGAGAATATGCAATTAGTTTTTTGATTTTCTAGAAAGTAACGACGGGAAGAAATAAAATTGATTTTCCAAAAAATCCGTTTTTTCCAGAAAACTCAGCAATCCTTGAAATGTTTAAAACTTTTTTGATGACATCTTGGTGAACATCCCAAAGCGCAACTTTACCCCAATTTAACCATATTCGTATCTATTACGGTTACCGAGATACCAATGCTCGTACCTCGAATTTGTGGCACCCTGTATAGTGTTCTAGTGGACCTATTTTGATGATCTTTTAAGCAATTTGTAGCTAAATTATTTGACTTTTTAGTATCTCTTTCTGAATTAAAAAATGAAACTTCTCATCTGTCAATTATACGGGAGAACACAAAATGTTGTTATTTTGGTGAAAGTTTGGAACACCCTGTGGAATATGTTAAAAAAGCAAGAAATTTAAATATCATTTGATCATCTAAGTGCATCTTTTCTCGATAGTTTATTTTTTGGTTTATCTTAATAGCTTTATTTTAGTTGGAGATATTCGCTTTTGAAGAAGACACTAACATTTTTTCCTAATTTTTAAATTAAAACCAAAGATTAAAACCATGCCTTTCCTTTTGATCCTAGTCAACAGACCTATGAAATAGTGTTTATGATATATGTAATGTCACTGATATTGAATATTATTATTATCTGTTGGCTGTTGGGCAGTTACTTTAGCAAAGATGGTTTTAAGTCCAGAAGTTGACACCGCTATAGTTCTTTTAATTGATGATAGAAATCAGAATCATGTCGCTAACAGATTCAGGTGTGCACGAAGTACAGTGCAGTTGCTTTCCTCGAGAAAAGTTCACATGCTAGACGTCCAGGAACCAGATGAACCCCCGTATGAGAATTTCGAATCGAGACCATCGACTTACAACAAAAATAAAGCTATTGAGATGAACCAAAAAACAAACTACCGGAAGAGATCTAGATGATAAAGTGATTTTTAAATTCCTTGCTTTCTTAATAATCGTTCAACATATCAACATTTTGTTTTTTTCTCGTATAATTGATAGATGGCCTTTCATTTTTAATTTAGAAAGAGATACTAAAAAGTTAAATAACTTAGCTACATATTGCTTAAAAAAAATCATCAAAATTGGCCCACTAGAACACAATATATTAAACTTTAAAATACATCAAAATTTTAAGATGCCAGTTTTTCGTGCCCGTGAGTGTATTAGTTAACAAATTTGACTTGGTTTTATATGCAAAATAGTTTGTTAATCAATATTTGCGATATTATAAATGGTTTATGATTTGTTTGAATGTTTAATATAAAACTGTTTTTTGTTCAGGGTGTTCGAAAGATACAAAGATCCAAATTTCAGAAGGTGATTTCTCATCAAAAAATAGAAAAAAAAGTTCTTATAAACATAGACCCGGAAATGCATAGTTTTAAATATACAAGATGTTAAAACTTTTATATGCTAATATAAATATAAAAATATATATGCTTTTTGTAATTATCTTAATTACCATTATTTTTTAATGTGTGTAACAATGAACATTAATGTTAAATTATAATATGTTATCAAGTATTTTAATACTTTACTCCAGTTGCAAATTGAAATGTATATTTGTTTTTTTTTTAATAAGGTCCAGGCCTAGAGTATGGTCCAGAGAACTGCAATGAATTGGATTTATAGTTTTTTTCCGAAGAAAATAAGTTTTAGAAAGACATATTATACAATGGGAAAATTGTATTTTTATTTACCACTTCAGTTATGTAAAAAAAAATAAAAAATGCAATTACTTGGTATATTTTTTTCAATTATGTATTTTCAATACTAGGGACGCCAATGAATTTCATAATTGAATTTTAATTAGGCCTAAATTAGCCCATTATTACTTGAAATAACATTGACATATTTCCTGAAAGTCAACTACAGGGTATTTTAGGTATGTAATTACAAAAACCTATTTTTTAAGTAAGTAACATACTCTATCTTTAAAACTGCGCATTGCAAGACATATCTTTATCGGAACTTTTTTTCAGATATTTTGATGAGGAATCCAAGGAGGAACCATCCCCTGAAAAGTAGTCTTATGATGATTAATATGAAAACATATAATTTCTATATAGGTACATAATATAAAAAAAAGATTTTCACTTAACGGTAACATAGTAGTATACATCTATTTTTACACGTATACGATAATGGAAAATCAAATAAGCAACACATAAAAACATATTTATATATGAAACCTACTCTACTTTAGTTGTATATTTCTTGGAAAAATATATACATACAATTTTTTTATTTTCTTTAAATTAATTCACTCAAAATTATACTAATTTTAATTTAGTAAAACGTAAATAAGCTTTCGGTCAAATATCTATTTCCAAAAATTAGTTTTACTTATACAGTATGTCTCCGGATTGTCTTTACAAGAGGAAACATTTTTATTATAGACATATTGGGAAAAATGCATTTTTCATAAAAAATTTTGCTTGCTCTAAAATGGTCAATCCCATTTATACTTTTCTAAATTTCCATACCGTTTTAGAGAAAATTGAAAAAGTCCCAAAGGTCAAAACGCGTTTCTGTGGTAATATAATTTCGTCTTTTTTTTTCTTTTATAGAATTTGAATTAACGTCATATTTCTTGCTGTTTTAAAATGTTAAAAAAGCACAAAATTTATTTTGTTCAATGCTACGGAAAGGATGATAATACTTATTGAAAAATTTGATATTTTAACAACAGCAAAAAATATGACGTTAATCAAAATTAATAATAAGCATCTATCAAAGAATGAAATCCAAATTATATACCATATAGAAACGACTTTTAATTTTTAGGACTTAGTAGGAATAGTATAAATATATAACCATTTTAGAGCAAGCAAACTTTTTTATGAAGAATAATTTTTCTCAAAATGTCTATAATAAAAAAGTTTTACCTCTTGTAAAAACAATCGGGACATACTGTATAATAAATTTATTATAATAGATTTACCCTCGGATTTACCTGTAGGTGATGGCATGTCTGTAAATTTTTCATTTTTTTTCTGTTTAAATATTTATTTTTACTAGGATTTATATCAATTTTTAAAATACACAAGAATCAACCCGACAGAATTTAAGATTGATTATCATTTCAAGGGTCACTGTTATACATTTTTTTCGATCGTATGGCATTTAAAAAAAAATTGAGATTCCTGAATTTTTAAATTTTTTGAATTAAATAAAAGAACAACCAATTAGAATTATTTTTGAATACATCATCTAATAGTAATCAAGGCTCAGGGGAAATCTTCAAAAGAATAAAATAAAGATTGAAGCCGGTATATTAAAATTAAAAAAAAATAAATGAACTCCGCCATCCTATTTTATGGAAATATATTTATATCACATAAACAATTATTAGTACTGTCTGTATTAATAAGTAAAAAGGTTAAAAACCCTAAATCACCGAGGTGCGCGTAGATTAGTAGCAATAATTGCTTTCACTGCAACCGATATTATTATAACTGCATTAACTTTCTATCTGGGTGCATCGCAAAAATTCACTCACCTCTTCTTGCTGTAACCCACTTTGTCCAATTCTATATGACGATAGGTGGCGTACGATGCCATTCTGCCTCTCTGGATGATATATAGAGCTTTTGGAACAAGAAACCGCGAAGGCCTGCTGCTTGGAACTGAACGGCTGTGCCGGCATCAACTTGCTTTTATAGCCGCAAGAGGGGGTATATATACTCAATAAAACCGTTCCTGAGGCTAAGCGGAAGCCGAGCAAAGCAGCAGGAATTAAAGAATTGCGGTTTGGAAGTTTGTCTGCTGGTGCCATCTCTTTAGTTTAAAAGTAACTATACATTTTTGCATGTATAGATACCTACCTATCTACTTTTAGATTTTTTTATAATTTAAGTATGGAATCATATTTATGATTTATGGGAATTTACTTAAACAATTTATTGATTTTGTTGCTTTATGAAAGTCTATATATTTGTAATATACAGGGTACGGCAATAGTGCGTCGGGCATCTGTAGCTCCTAGAATAAAAAACTAAGGAATTTTATTTAAGTGCAGGCCTAAAGTATGTACTAGCACAGACAAACTGTTTTAACTAAATTAGTTTGTGGTACTAGGATGTATTTCAGAAAAATATTTTAACTTCTATAGGTTCGCTCAAAAAAGTGTGAGTGGATTGGGATAATTTTTTTAGATGAATCACCCTGTATATTATTGCATTTGTGGCTTCCTCTCTTTACATAATCCTAAGATATAAGTAAATATATTTCGATAGTTTCAGAGATATTAATAAATTAATAAAAAATATGTATTTTTAACAGCCTTTCTTAAAATACAAGAACTCTCCTGAAATCAAAACTATATGAAGTATTTACTTTAAATGGTCTGTACTTACTTTGCTTTATATATCGCAATCTTAAATCATACAGGATATTCAAAATACTCTGCTAAACTTCCTAATATATAAAATAACTTTTCTTCGTTTTTTAAATGAAACGCCTCTATATCATTTTTTAATTCCTAAAAAATGAGCAATATTTGTATTTACAGTATTTTAAAATTTTTATATAAATTATATTACATTAATAGTGTTGCCGGTATTCGCGGTTTTATATTTCATATGGTATTTTTCACAGTAAATTTTTATCAAAGCCACCCAATGATTTTTCGCTCGATTTTACCGTTGAAAGTGTTGAAAGAGCCATATGGAATAATACTGGGTGTATCTGCGAAACCATTAAAAATTTTGAAATACTTTAATACAAAAAATGTTCATTTTTACTCTGCTAATAAAAAAAAATATACAGGGTGTTCCATTTAAATATAGGAGGAAAAATAATTTTATATTTTAGAAAGTTTGGCGTAGAATTTTGAACACTCTGTATGATTTAAGATTGCGATATTTATAGCAAAGTAAATATAGACGATCTAAAGTAAATACCTAATATAGTTTTGATTTCAGGACAGATATGTATTTCCAATATTTTTTTTAAGGAAGGTTGAAAAATATATAGGTATTTTTTATTTAATTATTATTATCTATGAAATGCCCGAAATATATTTACTCATATCTTAGTATTATGTAAAGTGATCCGAAACGAATCCAAAAATGCTATAATATACAGGGTGTTCCATTTAAAAAAATCATCCCGATCCACTTACGCTTTTTTGAGCCACCCTATAAGTAGAAGTTAAAATATTTTCCTGATATACATCCTGGTAAGTTTATACTTAACCTAATGCCCGACGCACTATTGTCAGACCCTGTATAGACTTTAATTTCCATTGTACAGGGACAGGTTGATAGGATTTGATCACAGGTTTGATCTTTGTATATAAACAAGGGTTTGCAGAGAAAATGGTTCTGTATTATTTTTTCTATGATGGTATACAAGGATGGTAGTTACACAGTAGCTGTCTAGCAATCCTATAGGGTGACTCTTCATACTTGACCCCATGCTTCAAAAAAGCTCCAATCAGTTTTTCCATTTGAGATTTTCACTCGATTCCTTTTTACAAAACATGCAGGCAATCTTCACACTCGCACACATTTAAAAAATACTTTCATGGTAATACTAGGCAGGGACGCATATTATACGGGAGGGGTAATGGGGGTAATTACCCCTCCCAGGAAGAAATAAATAAGGAAATCTGGTATAAAATAAAATTGTCACAAAATAAATTATAATGTCAACCAGAGAGAACACTAATAACTAAAGTGAGAGGGCTTGTGGAATAGGGCATTTCGTAGACAAGTTTATTTTGTCACCGCGCATCCCAGACGCGCATAGCGTTTAGGCGGTCAAAAAAGGAAGTTTTCAACTTTGCAAGTTAAACATTTGACAGGATTAATTAGATTGTCAATAGATATGGTCAGTAGCTTTTTCTATTTCTTAGCTCTAGAAGGAGATATCGAAAATCTGTTGATAATCGGAGTAATAAATTGTTTTTGACTGAATGTACCTGTTCTTTTAGCTTGAGAGATTATTGTCATATGATTGTCATTATTGATTATTTGAGATTCCACGATTATTCGGCATTTTTGTAATTTTTGTTTTGTTGTTGAGATCCAGACAAAACATTTCCTTTAAAGGTAAGTTTTATCTCGGTAATTATTTTAAAATACCTAATATTAATAGTGAGTAGTGAGTGCACATAATATAGTCTAACAGCTAGCAACGTTTTCGAGAAAGTATTTTAAGACGTCTGGCTCTTTGATATATCTTTTTATATTTTTTGCTCTCTGGAACAGTATGCGGCCCGTCTGGCTGCCGATATCCGTTGCGTTCACTACTGCGCATCGGAAGAAGATCCTATATTTTTTTTTTAATTTAGTCCTATAAATTCTAGTATTGAATATAAATCGAACATGTCTCCATAGCGCAGTGCGCAGAGTTTCCGACTACGAACCGACGATTCAGAGTTCGAATCTGGGCCAGGGCCAAAGACTTTTTTATTTTATTTTCGTATATATTCTGATAGTAAAGTATTAAATAATTCTGGTGATTCAAAAAAAAACAAATATTTAATACTTTACTATCAGAATACAAACGAAAATAAAATAAAAAAGTTTTGGTCCTGACCCGGATTCGAACTCTGACTCCTCGGTTCGTGGTCTGAAACTCTATGCATTGAGTTATGGAGACTCGGTCGGTTTATATTCAATACTAGAATTTAAATGACTAATAAAATATAGGATTTTCTTTCAATGCGCAGTAGGGAACGCAACGTTTACCGGCAGCCAGACGGGCCGCATGCTGTTCTAGAGAGCATAGTAAAAGATATATCAAAGAGCCAGACGTCTTAAAATACTTGTTTTTCCGACGTTGCTAGCTCTCGTACATTGCTAATTTACATAGGTAAGCATAACCTATGGGATAAATCCGATTGTAAAAGTAAAACATCACATTCTTATTCTTTTCTGATACCTCTGGAACGACTAGGTATTATACCTGGTATTATTACCAATTACCAGTAATACAAATTATTTTTTTTCAACTGATAGGTTCTTGGTATAGAATAAAGACTATCAAAAACATTGAATACCTACGGGATACCTACTGATACTCTGTGCGAGCACCCAACCGTGCTTCCCTGTTTACTCCCAACCAAGTTAGATAAAAAAGATATTGAAGATTGCAGCCTTGAGTTGGAGTATGGGCTCCACTACGACATGTACAGAAACGGATTACCTAAACGGGTAAGCATGTAAAATTAAACCTTAATGAAAAATTGAACTTATTTATTTTTAGTTCAAGAAAAAGCATGACAATCCACAATCCACCAAAGACCTGGTAAATGAATTCTGCAAAAACTGAAAACCAAACTAAGTTAAATAAATTATTATGTTCCTACACAGTATTTTATTTATAGGTTTTAAAGTCTAATAATAAATTTTCGTTGTCAACAAAATAATCTAAAAAAACTACGAAGATTTCTTATTATAAACTTGAAAGATTAAGATTCGGCTCACAAATTTTAAATTTTTGGCGCCAGTATATAGGTATGAATGCAACCTACTATATCGATAATGCGCTCATAGTTCGGGTTAGACGCCAAAGGCCGCGCCACTAACACAGTCTTCAAAAATTAACGTTGATCAGTCTCTCACTTTAGATGTCAATGTCAACCCTATGATGTCAACCAAAATAGAAATCCAGAATAACCTTAAGTTTATTTTTTCCATATAGTCACAATACCTTTAAGCAAAAATTTAATTTAAATCTATTACTTTATTTAAATATTGCCACTACCCCTCCCAGACTCAATCTCTGGATGCGCCACTGATACTAGGTAATTCAAGTAGATATACCGAGTGGTGTATCATCATTGGAAACATAGGAAATCCCATGCAAATTTTGAACTGTCCACATATTTGCTCCCCTATTAATTTTACAGCTAAGTCATAAATATAGGTTTTTTAAAGCCCTAGTGATGTTGGTAGCGAATATTTCAGAAATTTCCGAAATATTCGGTCCCAAAATCGTGAATATTCGCAAAAATCCGAATTTTGCAAGAAATTCGTTTAAAAATTCAAGACATTGAGCAAAAATTTAACGAAAGTGTATCAAGTATGCCTATTCTTAAATCAAAAGAAAAAAAATGCTTCTCCGCCTTACAAAATAGAAAACGTATGGCTCTTAAAATAATGCATTTTGCCGCGAATCTCTTGGCCCCTTCTGTTTCCTGGGAGAGCACCTTAGCAATGAAGAACACATAGCCGCTATGGAATTTATCAACAATATCACCAATAAACATCCTCAATTTGTCAATAATAAAGAAGCCATTTTTACAGGTGTAACAAATTATTGCGCCAAATCGGGTTTATGGGCTCTCGACTACGTTTGGATGTCAGTTAAAAATGTAGACTGTCTAAGTTGGTGGCAGGCAATATGTAAAAATACTCAGTTGAAATATTTAGCTGTTGCTCTGCTGTCTTTACCAACGTCATCTGCAGCCACTGAGAGAACTTTCAGTAGGTACTTACAGTTTTATCCATACTAAAAAAGGAATCACTTAACTGCACAAAGAGCCGGCAAAATAATGTTCATAGCTCATAACAATTAATTATTACTACAAAAACAAAAAGTGGATATGGAACATGATATGCAACAACATGAAACTCCTCCAGAACCACTAGAACCCGTGGAGGTAGAGGACCATCCTTCAGAATCAGAACCAGATACATCAAATATACCTGATTTGGAAATAAAAACTGAAACGAAGACAGTACTACTACTACTACTACTACTACTATAATACCCTATGAAGATGGGACCAGCTCAGCGCCTGAAAGTATTCTGGACTAGAATAATTGAGTTATTTGTGTTTTACGTTTTTTAAATTTATATTTCGTGCTTTTTTGTTTTTTTTTACGTTCATAGTCATAGCTCATGGTTAATGTACAAAGTACAAATGTTACCAAATAATTTTTGTTATATGTTATGTTTATGACTTTTAGGAGTTATGTATTGTTTATTAAAAATATAACAACTACTATTATGTTTATTGTTTTTTTCCCACTTACATGTTGGTATCAAATGTCTATCTAATTTATTCATTGTATCAACAAAAAATATGTAAAATTGTAAAATTTCCTAAAATTTAATAAATTTCCGAAAGTTTCGGAAATTTTCTGTAACAATCAAAAGTTTCCAAAATATTAACATCACTAGGTCTGCCTATGGTGAATACACATGCCAAATTAGAACAATTGTGGACAAGCCAATTTTAAGTACTTTAGGGAAAACTGCATCTATCTTTAAATTAAAACTAAATACGTAACAATGCAAAACCAGTCAATTGTCAACATACCTTAAGTTGCGAACTTATGATTTTATCTTTGTCAACTGTACTTTGTTGCTAAGCTTGTATGTTGGCATTTGCCTGGTTTTGCATTGTTACCTGTTCACTGTTTAGTTTTAATTTAAAAGGCGCAGTTTCTTAAATTACTGAAGATCAGCTTATCCAAAATTGTTCACATTTGGCATGTGTATTCAGCATGCACTTTTAAAAACCTATTTACAACTTCGCTGTAAAATTAACAGGAAAGCCAATATTTGGACAGTTCAAAATTTGCATGCAATTTCCTATATTTCCAACCATGATGCACCACCCAGTATGTTAAAACTGTAGAAGGTATATTTTTAAAATTCAGGTAACATATTTTACAAAACTATTGAAGTGAAAATCTGAAACCTGATATGAAGCTTTTCAGGAACACTGGATTGCCCTGCATAACATTTTAAAAAAATATTTCCTTTTAAATACTCATTACAAATAGTACAATTAAGTTTCAAATAAATATGAAACGTAACATGATTTAAATTCTTAATTTGTGACAACATACAAGTAACTTAACATACAAATAATAGAAAAATTGGAATAGTAATAATAGAAAAACCATTTATTTTATCCAATGAAATTCATTACAACTAAGTGAAGAATGCAGTGAGCAAAAATGAAATCAGCAAATCCTCTCTCTGGACTAATTCCATAAAACTGGTTCTTGTTTTCAGGATTTACTTGAAGTCTCAGGCATACTGAAAGAAAAACGTACCTGTATCTACTGTTTTTCTGAAGTTATGAATTTTACAGAAGAAAACTTACCTCCCAAAACAAAACAGCTTACAGTTGATATAAAACCGCTAAGGAATGAGTTGAAAGGGAATGTTCCAACAAGAATGCAGTAAATAAATTGGATGATTCCAGTTAAGAGGATATAAAACAGGTAGGCATCAATTACTTTTAGCTTCCTTGAAGTTTTTGCTGAGTACTCGTTGTAGAACTTTAATAGTACATTTGTTTGGGCCATTTTATATGATAGAAATTAAGTAATTAATGATAAATTTCTTACTGACGTGTCAGCAATTCACATTTCCAAATTCTTCCAAACAAATGCCAAATGCCAACATGATGCCAACCAAATTTGCCAAATGCCTAAAAACAGACTAAAAATAAAAATGCCCCTGGCTGCAGCTGACATTTGTCATATATGACTGTCAAAAGTGTCAAATGTACTAACTCTTCTTGAAGTTTTTTGAAAACCAGTTACTGCTAGGGCTATTCTGTATAGGACTTTCTTTGGTTACGAAGATTCCGAACCGCAGTTCTCAGCCTGTCTACAATCAAAGATACAAGTAGTGTAGTGATGGTGTAGTGTGTTGGTGTTGATCAGGGTTCGGAAGTAGTTAATTATGACGTAGTTTACCTGATTAACTACGTGTAGTTTTTCTTCAAAAACTACGTCTTTTCCCGATCATTAACTACATGAAAACTACGTTAATAAACTACCTATTGATATTATGAATAATTAAATACATTATATGTTTTCTAAAGCTTCAACTTATTATAACCTCACCTCAAACCTTTGACATTTGAAAGTTACATACATATGTTACATAAACTACACCCTCTACATAAACTACATTAACTAAATGTAATGTAGTTTATGTAGTTTTTAAAAGTAACATGTAGTTTTCCGAACCCTGGTGTTGATGCGTTTGTTCGGCTAATGTTGATCGACTCTTACTCAAGAGAATAACCATCCATAGATGAGTAAGTCATAACCATGAAAAAAATTGTATGATAAAATATAAGTTCTGTCTAATAGCCAAATAAATTAAAAGAAGATATTATTACATAATACACTATTTCTTTCTATTGTAAAAAGATGTATATTTCCATCTCACTTTTCGAATTTGCACTGTGATTTTGCTGGCTAGGGGGATCGTATTTTTTCCATCAATTTCTGTATTTTTACAGTTTTTTAGCTGCAAATCATGCTTTCAAGAGCCGCAATCCTTTCAGGTGAGTAAAAAATTTCGAGTGTTTTATTTTATATTGAAATAAGTTTATTAATGTGTAATATTTATGTGTAAATGATTTATGTAACTCAGGTGGCTGTGCGATCTCGACATTGACGTAACAATTTTATTTTTGTTTTATTTAAATGAACATCGAATTTTCCTCTATTCTCTTTAGGTCAAAATTCAAGAGCTCTTGTTGCTTTTGCAAGAGCAACAGCTACGTCACCGGCCAATAATGCTGCAGAATCTACAAGCAGTTCTTCTTTGCCTAGACCTGTAAGTTCAAGATCTTACATTTGTACCTATGTATTATTTTTTAATTATTACTTTTGCATTGTAAAATCAGGTCAGACAAGAAGCTGGAAGAGTCCGTTATGGTTTTATTCCAGAAGAATGGTTCGAAGCATTCTATAAGAAAACTGGTGTAACTGGACCTTATGCATTCGCCTTCACTTTCTCTACCTACCTAGTCAGCAAGGAAATTTATGTATTGGAGCACGAGTACTACTCAGGTCTCTCTCTTTTGATCATGTGGACCTATGGTATTAAGGCACTTGGACCAAAGGTTGCTGCTTATCTAGATAAAGAAGTTGATGTAAGTTTTGTAGTTGCAACACCTTTTTACAACCACTGTTTTATATTACCTTTAAATTTTAATTATAGGACTATGAAAAAGGCTGGAATCAGGAGCGCGTAGATGAGAAAGCTAACCTAGAGGATCAAATTAAAAATGAGGAAAAATTACAGTGGAGCATTGAAGGTATGTAGAGAAAGTAGAGTAGGTATGTAGAGAAAATAATATAATTAATTTTTTGTTATTTTTAGGTCAAAACCTTCTTATTCAAGCCAAACGTGAAAATGTGGCACTCCAGCTGGAAGCTGACTATAGAGCAAGATTATTGTCGGCTTATCAAGCTGTTAAAAGTCGTCTAGATTATCAATTGGAAAAAACTAATGCTGAGCGCAGGATTGCACAGAAAAATTTGGTAGAGTATGTCATAGCCAAGGTTAAGGCCTCTATCACTGCAGACCAAGAAAAACAGAACATTGACAGATGTATTGCTGATTTGGCATTACTAGCCAAAGCTTAAGGTACAGTTTTACATAATATTTTACCAGGTTTTTAGGTGAATTTAATAATTTGTTAAAATATTTATATTCTTTTTATCCTCAGTTATACAAATTTACATGAAATATTTCAAATTATTAAAACTAGGAAAATCATACTTCTTTCAATGAATAAAATTTATATTTTAAGTTTATTCTTACACAATATTATTTGTTAGATACATGCTGTTGTGCAAATAAATAATTACACGAAATAAAAGTATATTTATTAATTATGTAGAAGTTTTTCTTCAGCGGAACAGGTAAATGAAACAGTAATTTTCTACACAAAGATTTTAATAATACTGCATATTCTCATACCATCAACGTTTCAATTTAATAAATTACAATAATATAGAAGTCAGTAAATTTGAGACATACATACAATAATATCATTGAGTTACATAAAGTCCATATTAATACTTTTGAAGATAATTTCTTTTTGTATTTTTTTAAAATCAAATCTTAAAAAGACTAGTATTTAAGATTTATAATTTGTATCCCATATATTATGGCACAGTTTCCACCAGTATTTCACAAACTTGAAGATCTACAAGGTGGTTTTTAACATTAACTAAGTTTGGAAAATGATTGGGCTTCTACAGTGTGTACAAGGAAATGTGCTTCGAGATTTTGTTTTGTATTGGTACTGCAAAAGAAAATTTTGGCAGCATAAACACCCTACTGACACGAAATATTTACAGAAAGTCTTACTACGTTTCGCTTAAATATAGCCAAATATATTAAAATCCTATCTATATACAAAGGTTTTATATAAATTCGTAAAATACAATGATACATTTTGGAGAGTATTCTTTTTAACTCATAGTGCACAATAATAAATAAATATACAACAAGTTTTCCAAGGATAAATAACATCTAATAAAAAGCTATTTTGTCTCCTTAAACAACTTACAAAGTATTATAGTAATTTTTAAAATTTCGAAAGATACTGGGTACATCTCAAAAGTGGCTTACCCCTATAACATTTTTATTTTTTTAGATAAAAAAAACGAGATTTGGTATGTTAGTTTATTATGACATAAATTAGGAGCGATTAACGGTATTCAATTGTTTTTGGTCACTTCCTGTTTCACAGGAAATTACTACAATTTTTGGTTTTTAAATGACACTCGATATTTTATATACTTTATTTGATAGAAAATGACACTGAAGAGAATGACAGATCATAAATATTGTCATATACTAACATACCAAATCTCGTTTTTTTTTAAATGAAAAAAAAATAGAAGTTATAGGGATGAACCAGTTCTGAAACGCACCCGGTATAATAGACCATACAATCGAAAATAAATTACGTCAAAGGTAGCTTGGAAATTAAGATCCCTGTAATTTTAAATGTAAAATTACATGGGTCATTTGAGGTCTGTTCTCAGAAGAATCCCTGACTAGTTAGCGCGTTTCTTATTGGTTGAAATGTGTAGAAACCAGACTAACAATCAGGTTTTTTCTACGCATTTTAACCAATAAAAAACGTGCTGAGTCAGGGATTCTTCTGAGAACAGACCTATCATCGATTGTCATTTCTAAACTAACTTAACGTCGGTTTTTTTTTCGATAATACAGTATTTTAATTCATAAAGTCTTGGCGATTATCATTTTTTAAAAAATTGAAAATACCTTTCGGAAATTTAATCTTTCGGGAAACTTATTCATTTTAAAAAATAACATAAAAAATAAACATATACAAAAATATCTATATACAGGTATGTATGTCGTATAAATAGACATGAAAAAATAAATTAACATAAAATACGTAAAGCTATTAATAAGTACAATACAATTAAGTAGAAAAATGCTAATAGAGCACTTTTAAGAAAAATCATTTTTTATTACATAACATTATGTATATCCGATTTTAAAATTGGTTTTATAAATAAGTTAAGCCAAGAATAGGATGGTTATATCAGGTTTAAACTTTAAATTGGTCGATAATATCATAACTGTCAAACACAGCTGCCAAAAATCGGTTTTCAATTCATCCAAAATTGCATAAAATTTAAATAAGTATAGATTTTATTTTTTACCTTAAATTTGACCTGTATTACAAAAATGATTTAATTGATATAGGCGATTGAGGGTTTCTGTTATTTCTAGTTGTGTTTCGGTTGTCCAACTATTCTAAAGCTGACTCCAAAAAACTGAATGTATTATACACTAACTACACCGGGTGTTTCTGAAAAGCAGCTCACCTCTAGAACTTTTTTATTTTTTCCAGAAAAAAAAACGAGATTTGGTATAATACAAATTGAAGGGTCCAGGGGAAAAACTTGATAAGCGCCAATTTCTCAATTTTAGGATTTTACAATATTATAGTAGGTCGTAGGTCTAACTGGTCCCTACAAAATGTATAAACTATGCAGGGCAATAAGCTGTTAATCCTATTGATATACATATGTCTAGTAAAAATTTAGAATACGCGGAAAGAACCTGATAACTGCTAGTGCACAATGGTTCCCAGATAGGTCATTACTTAGAAATATTAATTTCAAAGTGTTTGCATGAAACTGTTGCTAATGCTTTTCTTATATTCCCCTGTAAACGATACATAATAAATAACAAAATCAAGTAAGCCTAGTGTAGCGTTTTTTTTATTAGAAATGTCACATTTTTGCTACTGGTATCAAGCTGACATAAACAGTTTTCAGATAACGCCAATTAATTACTTATTTTATTAAAATTGATAAAAGCTGTTGCCTTTTCTGTAATGGACGTTCGAAAAAGAACTGTTTTTTTCTTTTTTGCACTTAATTAAATCTAAGTAATATTAGTTTATGACTATTTTAATGTAACAAAAATAGTATTTTTACATTTTTGCTTGTCACTCTTTAAGACTTAACTACTTTCCCTTTCAAATCCTCTTAAACGGCATGAAAATACTTGTCGTTTAAAGTATATTGCATATAAATTAATTGCCACTGGCTTCCGCGAATTGCCGCCGGATCTTATACCGGGTGGTTAAAGATTGACTTTTTGTCTTAAAATAAAAGTAACTTATTTTTTCCTCTTCGTGTCAACTTATTTCGTGGACACACTGTATATCAATTGACAAAATAATTGTATTTAATTTAATTTGACCTCTTCAATATGAAAAAACATGTACATATGTGCAAACATAATCTGTATACCTTTCCGAATAGTTAGAACTTAAAATTCAAATCACACGAACTGGGCCCAATTTTTTTAATACATATTACATTAAGTTTTTTATATACATTTATTTAGCATTTGTTATCAATTTCTGTTAAAAAAGGTGCAGTCAAGCTATATCTAGATATATAACAGTTATGACCGCGCAACTAATTAAGAGGAACCACTGTGCAGTGCTCTGTGAAATTAGTAAAATGGCGCTTATCATGTTTTCCCCTGGATCCTTCAATTATAATAGAGTGTCAACCTGACGCGTAGGGTTCTCGTAAACATGGATGTTTTTGTTTAAATATCAATATACAGAGTGTAAATAAATTAATGCGAAAAAACAGGTATTGCTTTAAAGAAAATAAAACTATTTTTATTTTCTATATTTTTTTCAATTTAGCATTTCTATAAGTTATTTACTTATATAGAGTGTATCTTCACATTATAACTAGTCAAAAAGTGTTGATGACATTTTGTCACATTACTAGATAATTCAAATTTAAAATATTGACAGATGTCTTCTATTATTTTTTTACAAATTTAATATGCAGGTCTAATGAGACTACTTGACTTTAACTTATTCCTTAATAACTGTCGTATACAGGGTGCTACAAATTCGAGATAAATTTGACATTGGTATCTTGGAAACCGTAATAGATACGAAGATGGTTAAATTGGGGCAAAGTTGCGCCTTGGGATGTTCACCAAGATGCCATCAAAAAGGATTGCTGAGTTTTTTGGAAAAAATAATTTTTTTTGAAAATCAATTTTATTTTTTCCTGTCGTTACTTTTTAGAAAATCAAATAACTAATTGCACTTTCTCATAGCCACTTTATTAGCGCTATCTATGGTATTTTTAGATTTTAAAATTAGCTCATAGTTTGTGTGATACAGAGGCCGACTTAATTTTTTTAAATACGGACCTGCATTTTTTATTTCAGATTTTGAAAGAAGTCGGTCTCCTGAGTACAATGATATGCCACACTTTATACTTTTTTTTTGTTTCGCACATTTGAACACAATTTATTTAAACTAATTTTAAGTCCGGTTCTGTTTTTTTTAATATTTAAACTATTGATCGTTACAATATTGATAAGCCTTCAAACTTAACAATGACGTAATAAAAATCAAATTAATATTTTTCAACATTTACAATAAAATATAAAGTACAAAATGCATTTGGAAGTATATCAAGAAGATATGTTCAAAGAGCTATAAATAAAACTGAACGAATAATAAATTTGTGCAATAGGAGGGGTGGTAACCCTTTCAAACATGTAGAGCATTAGAAAGTAGTTTGTAGAAGTGGATTTATTTATAATAACCACGATTAATATTATGCATATTATTAGGTCGTACATTCAGATTTCAAATTCACAATAAAAAAAGTGAAAAATACTATCTTTAAATTGCTGACCTGGATATTATTTTTGAATCTTTCAATTGGCTCGATTTTCCTTATTCAATGTTAATTAGCGCTGATTTGCGATGAATATAATCAGACTAAATAATTTAAAAAACCAGACTTGGTTGGTACACAAAATAAAAAAAAAGTATAAAGTGTGACATATCATTGTACTCAGGAGACCGAGTTCTTTCAAAATCTGAAATAAAAAATGCAGGTCCGTAATTAAAAAAATTAAGTTGGTCTCTGTATATCACAAATTATCAGCTAATTTGGAAATCTAAAAATATTATCAGATAGCCCTAATAAAGTGGCTATGAGAATGTGCAATTTATTTTTTGATTTTCCAAAAAAGTAACGACAGGAAAAAATAAAATTGATTTTCAAAAAAATCCGTTTTTCCAAAAAAACTCAGCTATCTTTGAAATTTTTAAAACTTTTTTGATAGCATCTTGGTAAGCATATCCCAAGACGCAACTTTGCCCCAACCATCTTTGTATCTATTACGGTTTCCGAGATACCAATGCTCGTACCTCAAATTTGTAGCACCCTGTATAGAGAAAAATATTTGGAGATAATGTCGCAAGTGAATTAAATTTTTGAACACCCCGTATATGAGGCATACTCTAATAACTATTCCAAATTTGAGTGTCAACAGTTTTTAGATGAAATATTAGTCACGGACAGACCTGATATATTAAAACTTATCGATACGATATGTATCGATATTTTTTCTTAGATTGAAAATTCCTCACGGTCGGTGTTATAATTCAGAAACTTTTCCTTTTTTTGTTCTGTAACCATTTAAAATGAAGTTTTGTCATATTTCTGCTGTATTCTTTTTTCTTTGGGTATATTTACTGCCAGAAGATAATTTCAGATATGTCAAACTAAGAAATCATGACCTCTCGGGAGCGGAAGAAGAGTTTGTTTTTCTGCCATGGTCAAGTCTAGTTACAAACGTATTCTTCTTTCCTCGATTTGCACGTGCTGCAGACGACGTTGCAACACCAGACGAACTGGCATTTGCACTTCTCTTCCACGTCTTTGACCCTAGTTTGATAGCCTCTACCGCAGCACAGAAGCGGACAACCGTCTAGGCCAGGACTGGTCACATTACACACGCGACCTCTGGTGCCTAGAATGTTCAACCTACGAAAATATAGAGTATGTTGAGACTTAAATTATACAGGGTTGTTCACCACATACAACACGGAGTATTGGAGCTAAACAATTAGATTTTTACAAGTGTTCGTTGAAGGACTATTAGAGCAACAATTTAAAAATATTTTTACAAGATACAGAGTGTCCCAAAGAAATAAAAAATATCAAAGTTGTATTTTTTTAAATAGAACACCCTGTATATTATTACATTTTTAGTTTCTATCGATCAAAATAAAGGTATATTTGATTAAGGTTTACCTCATTTTAATCATACCGTTTTTGAAATATTTAGGTTTTTGTTAAAATACACTAATAATTTTAATGCTTCATTTCTTCAGGTGTATTTAAGTTTTTAAAACCAAACATTGTACTAAAGTATTTCTATTTACCAAATTTTGTGTTGCAATAATAAAAATTGTACTACCTTATACAGAGTGTCTAAAAATTATTTTAAATAATTACTAGCTTTAAACGGCAATAACTTGTTTAAATTAAATGGAACACCCTGTATATTTTATAAGAATCAGATGCACAATTTAATTATTTATCAAATTGTATTGTACCTATCTCTAAGTTTTCGTAAAAAATGCATTTTCTTATAATTTAGACCTCATTTATCAATATACCCGCATGGAATATTGACATTTTAGATTATTTTTAGAGATGTATCAAACTTTTTAAGAGTACAGATACTGATAGTGTCGACATGGTTCATTTATTTCATTAGAAAATAAAAAAAACGGTTTAAAAATTTTGTTAAAGAGGATCAATTAATATGATTCGAATTACATTAATTGACAGTTTACGTTTATTAATAATAATTGCTCCAAGCACTAAAAAACTGAATTTTGTATGTGTATTAGACAGTGTAGTAAAAAGTAACACCTTAAAAATGTTATTTCATTTTTTGGCGAATGCTTATTTATAACAACAGAGACGTTCATTTTCATAACTTATTATTATATTTAATTCTAATTCAAATCCATATTTATTTAAAATAATATATTTACTAACACAATTAAGTATGTAATGGTGGTATATTTAATTAATGGTATACTCTTTTATAAAAATTGAAATAGTTTTTTTTGTATACAAATGGGCTAGTAATATCGTTTTTAGCAAGAAATGTACATTTTGTACATTTGTTGCCTTAAAAACAATCTAAAATGTCAATATTCCATGGGTATATTGCTAAATGAGGTCTAAATTATAAGAAAATGAATTTTCTATTAAAGTTTGAAGGGATAGGTACAAAATGGTATAATACAATTTGATAGACAATTAAATTGTGCATCTGATTCTTCTAAAATATACCGGGTGTTCAATTAAAATTAAACAAGTTATTGCCATTTGAAGCTAGAAATTATTTAAAATAAATTTTTAGACACTCTGTATGACGTAGTGTTATTTTTATTATTGCAACACAATAACTGATCAATAGATAAACTTCAGTAAATATTTAGTATTAAAAACTTTGGTACCCTTGGAGAAATGAAGCCTTAACGTTTTTACTGCAATTTCAGAAATAGAAAATATTTCAAAAACGGTAAGGTATAAGTATGATAAACCTTAATCAAATTTACCTTTATTTTAATCGTAGAAACTAAAAATGTAATAATATACAGGCGGTTCCATTTAAAAAATACAACTTTGATATTTTTTATTTATTTTGGACACTGTGTATCTTGTAAAAATATTTTTAAATTGTTGCTCTAATAGTCCTTCAACGAACACAAAACTTACCATTTGTAAAAATCTAATTGTTTAGCTACAATACTCCGTGTCGTATGTGGTGAACAACCCTGTTCGAAAAAGTAGGAAAAATAAATGATTTTATTTACAACCACATAATATGTGTACATATTATGTAATGTTGGTATTACTGGGCTTTTAACATTTTGGAAGAACTTCCATTTTCATTATGCATTTGCTTCACTTATTGTTTTCTTCGCTCATCTTATTTTATTTTTTTCTTCTGTTCTTTGTGCAGTTTCTTTAAGTTGTGATTGGATACCAATGTTAAGATTTTCGGAATTTTGAATATCATACAACATACTTGTTTTTCAAACGCCACAAAAGTATTAATTTTTGCGACATGATTGACAATATAAAAACGCCATTTTAACATTTTCCTACGTTTTCGAGATATGTGTACTCATTTTTGCCTTTTAACAAATCTAGTTATTTTTACAGCAACAGGTTTAAGAAATTATAATGTCTATACAGTTTATAGCTAAGTTCATATAACTCTCGAAGTGATACTTACGTTTCATTCTTTTCACAGTAATCTGGCGAATCCTCTAGATACACCAGATCAGTTCTATTTGGCTTTTTGAATTCTGGTTTCACTACTTTGAGTTTTTTTCTTCGTCTCTCTACGTATTTGACGTGAGAAGCTCCTTCATATCTAAAACGATGATATAAATAGAAATAATAAACGTAACTAAGTAAGTGCAGTTCGTTCAGCGAAAGTATCAAACATTTTTTTCTACCATTTTTTTAGTAATGTCTTATATCGTCACCCGAATGCAAGAAATGCGTAACTCGAAAATTTCATGTTTTAAGTTACCTTTCGAAATTATGTAAAAGAGCGCCTAGAATTTAGTACATAAAGTAGTTATATTATTTACAGTGACTGTATACAAGAAATTATATAACCCGAAATATAACCACATGATTACATTATTTCATCATTTACATTTTTAGCCGACCATACCAATAGGTATGGTAGGCTATTAAGATCGACAAAAAAAAAGTTTTTTTTTAATTTCACTCAAAATGAGTTATTTGGGTCATAAATGACCTAAATACAAAATATTTTCATGGTGTCTGTCGGTCTGTCTGTCCGTCTGTCTGTAACAAGATAACTCAAAAACCGCTAAACCGATTTTAACCAAATTTGGCACAAAAATATATACTGTGGCACCCGAGAATCTGGCCATTAGTTTTTGGTGGGGGTGGGGGGTTGGTAAGGGGGTATGGGAGGGGGTTAAAATTTTTAAAAAATCGTAACTCCAAAATAACAGTAGCTAGCGAAACGCGGTTTTCAATTTAAGATTAGGAATAATATTTGCAACAAAATTTGTAATAATCAGTCAAAGTCGCAGTTTTTGAGATAAAAAAAAATTGGAAAAATTCGTTTACTTTGAAACTAAAAGAACTGCCTACCAACTTTGTATTAACATATTTTAGTATGGGCGGCTATACGTGCCTCCCGGCGCCAATTTTTTACATATAACATCAAAATTTCGAGTTACCCATTCTTACATTCATGTGCCGATATCTTCATTCATATATCTGTATATCCAATTAATGAATAGTTAATGAAAAATAATTAGTGGCCTAGTTAGTAACTAACTATTCTAAGAATAGACGTGGTGGACTTACCGTTTATAGAGACCTTCGGATATTTTCCTAAGCGGAGGTAGTCGCCTCCAGCAGATCTGCATGCTGCAAGAACCCGACACACCGTGACATTTACAGGTTCGCAGCATTCTCGATCGCACTGCCTAAAGAAATAATTAAAATTATTGTTAGTATTACTCTTTTTTTAACATTATTTGAACAAACATGACTCTTATACTCTTATCTTGTAAGTAATATTATGTACTATAATTTTTTGCTATTGCTTCATCATTATTTTAATTTTATTGCTAGGATATCAAATATACAAAGAAATCTGTAACGCTATGACTGACCCATACTACAGGATATTATGGTCTATCATGTTTTTTAACTCTCACGTTCTGTAACAAAAGGTTCAATAATATCATAACAACACAAAGTATTATCAAAAAACGTCCACCAAGAGATTTAATGATTACATTTTGTTTTATAAATTATCCAAAAATACTGAATTCATGAAGTAAAACAAAAATAATATCATAAAAAGATTAAAAAAAAGTATCTTACTCTTCTGCCTGCTTCGTTATTGTGCAAGTTCATCAAACCCAAAGCGCTATTGGCATCTTCCTTCACATCTAGGAAATCCTTCGAAAATCTTTCACCATATCTCACGTCTTCTGAACATCCGCCCCATTTCCATTTTTGGTTCTTTTTCTGTCTAAAAAATAACAAAAAGTGGTAGAAAAATGGAATAAACTTATTTAGAATAGACAAACAGTTATTGTACGTTTAAATAATGGAAAAAGTCAAACGGGGCTAATTCTGGTGAGTCAGGGAGACAATCAAGTAGTTTAAGATTAAGTAGTTTAAAATTCTTAAATGTTCGTTATGGACAACAGTAAAAAGTAGAAGTATAATAGTATTTTCTTTTTCTACAAATGTGATCTATTTTCAAAAATTCCTCTTTTTGGCTTGTTAAGTAATGATGATCCTTACTTGCCAGATCTAGATCTAAGTGACCTCTTTCTTATTTCTTAAGATAAAAACTTAATTAGAACAAACATTTTTGTCATATGAAGTAAAAAATACCGTGTACTGGTTAAAGATCAAAATTTAAAGAAGTTTTGTATTTTTACTGAGTCCGAAACTTTGGAGACCTTCCTTTTATATCATATTTCTAATTAGTAGCTTGTGGTGAGGAACAGAATAAAAATTTAACCACGAGATCTAATGCAGCCTAAAATGTATCTTTTTACCTAATTTTGTGATCACAACTACAGTAATCGGCTAGTTCCCCTTTAGTACAGGCCCTAGTTATGGCATATGCCATAGAGGCCGCAGCTATGGCATTTAAGTAGGCAGCTTCTCGGCTTTCTGAAAAAGAAAACCAAATCTATATAAATATTTACAAAAATTAACTGGAGAATATGCAGATATACAATATGATCTGCAACGACGTCTCGTAATCCTGTTAAAAAATAACAATTGATTTTGATATATAAAAAACAGCTGTTATGTTTTAACAACAGGATTACGGGACGTCGTTGCAGCCACCCTTAGTCTTTCAAAGATGATATTTTATTTATACTAAGCAGAACGTCAATATCTAAAAGTTATATTTCCGGGTTTACTATATATTTTTTTTTGAAGAATTGTTTTTTTACTTACTAAATATGAATGTTACTTTGTTTTGTCTGTTTTAATAAAGCTCTTATGTTATTTTCTTTTTGATATATGTAGCTGCATCATTTTCCCGGGATCCCGAGATTATCGGTTCTAAACCCGGGATTTAAAAACTGGATCCCGAAAATTGGAAACCCTAATTTCGAGTATCGAGGAGAATGGATATTCGTGTCAATGCTATGGCCGATAATACTCGGATAATCTCGTCGAGCTCTATCGTTTGATGATATTGTGACGACGTTTCGAGTACTTTGAGAGCCCATCATCAATAACCAAAAAACGTCCGATTTAAATCAAATCTGGCATGTCAATAGATTGGACCAAGGCCAACTTGACCCTGTATGTCACATGTCATTTTGACAGTTGGTTTTGACGTGAAAAACGTCAAAAGTTCATGTCGTCCGATTGCGACCAAATTTGGTGGGTAGGCTATATTAGCTATGGTGAACACGCAAAGAGAGGTTTCTTATGATAGATATATTCAGATAGGTATTGAATAAGTTGTGATACAGTTGCTTAATAATGAATAGCAATAAATTGACCTGAAAACATTAGATTAAAATACTTACTAATTGTTACCACGTTGCCAAAAGTATTGTTCTTCTCTGGAAACGTTGTACAGTTCCATCGACTGTAAGAAAACTGACTTTGACATTCTTCGATAGCCAATTTGGCTCCAGTACTTATGATCTAAAATAAAGGAAAATCTGTTGCGAAAATAGTGAAATATTGCCTATAAATTATTGTAGCCTATAATTTAATAATGTTGCCTATAAATTAAAACTACCTATGCTGGTAGAATATTGTTTAATAAAGGATATAAATAAGTATAGTCATAGTGACTCACTCAGCTTTATTATTTTTTCAGTTAGAAACCGAAATTTGCTATTATTATAATAAATGTTGGATATATGATATAAATCAGGATTGATTGATGTATTCAATTAGTTTCGGCCACTTCCTGTTTCACAGGAAATTACTACAACTTTTGATTTTTAAATGCTACCCTCGATTACCCTTTTTTACGGTATTTGATAGAAAATTATATTCAAAATCGAATGACATAATATCATGTCAACTTTTGACATTTTCACTTAAAAAATAGTATTTTATATGGTATTTTAATTTTGGCTGTGTTCAAACCACTAATTTTTAATCAGGAGCCTTGGAAATATACATTTGATAGTCTAATGTTTTTTAAAAAATGTCTAAACCTATGTGGCGGATTCATCTCTCCAAAAAAATCCTTTATGGGTATTACGCCACTGCACCGCAAGAAAAATCTACAAAATTAAATAGTTATTTTTTGTAAAGACTTCTGCGTTAAACCTAAACGGACACTGCTTGTCAGAAGTTATGTCAGAAGTCATTTTAGGACATACATTTATATGAACTTTTTTTATTTATTTTTATGTGCAGAATGTGCTGTCAAAGTTTGCGGAACACCCTCACACCTCGTACAGTTCGGACCACCCTGTATATTAAAAGATATAGCTTTTACCGTCACAAACGGCATTGTCTAAGGGCTGGCTGCATTTCGAGTATTGTCGATAAAGGTTGATTCGTCACTCGAAGACGGATTGTGATTCGCGTGAGCACAATGACCAGTGGTGATAGTGTATCCGATAAATAAACGATCACTTTTTATGTATACAGGGTGAGTTTCCTACGATGTTCTCTATGGGTATCTCGGAAACTACTGGAGATAGAGAGTCGGTTAAATGGGGAAAGAATTGCAGTTTTGTGGGGTCATAAATATTCGCCTTTCAGATTTTTGAAAAAGTTCATGGCTTACTAGATATTTCGAAAAAAACAAATTTCGGCTATTTTAAAAATTGTCTCTAATTCCATTATAAGCTATTATAGACAAAAAGTTTTCAGATAAAAGTTGTAGATAATCACATCCTTAATGAGACCGTGTCCTCCGTTTTTTTCTAAAACAGAAGGACCAGTTGATTTAATTAAACTTTTCTCGTACCGCCACTTCGAGTGCCTCTCTTAATTCATAACTTCTTTTGTAAACCCTTATTGTTAACTATACCGCATAAAAAATCTAAAATGGATAGGTCAGGTGATCGAGGAGGCCCATGCAATTAGTCCACCTCTTCCTATCCCTGCGTTTGTATAATTATGATATAAATAATTTTAAAAATTTCTTTCATTATGAAGGGTGGGGGATGGTGTGTCATACTGAAAGTCATGTTAGAACCACTCTATTGTCATTTGAAAAATTCATATTTACAATTTTTGTTTATTATAATTTACAAAGTTTGTATGTGACAGCTTAACATTTCTGAGAGCAACGGCGATTGAACTTGTTTCCATGGCTAACTAAGTGAAATTCTTTAAAAATGATAAGAATTGGCTATAACCCAGTAATTTTTCGAAGAAAAGATATTATAGCTTATATCACTAAAAAGCTTAAAAATGGCGCTTTTTATGAAGTCATGGCCAATTATGGTTTCCATTTAAAAAAACATATGTTTGTGTCATATATCAAAAATGACAGGCTTTAGAAAAAAACGGACAACACGGTTTCATTAAGGATGTGATTATCTACAACGTTTATCTGAAAACTTTTTGTCTAAAATAGCTTATAATGGAATTAGAGACCATTTTTAAAATTGCCGAAATTTGTTTTTTTCGAAATGTCTAGTAAGCCATGAACTTTTTCAAAAATCTGAAAGACGAATATTTAGGACCCCACAAAACTGCAATTCTTTCCCCATTTAACCGACTCTCTATCTCCAGTAGTTTCCGAGATACCCATAAAGAACATCGTAGGAAACTCACCGTGTATGCTGTTTTTTCCAGATATATATGTAGATATATCTTTCCTCTATTCTATCTAATATATTTCTAATTCATGTAAAACTTTCTACTATCAACTGACTGTGTAGTACTGGTCATTAAATTTAAAACGTTGTATACAGAGTGTTCCGTGAAAAAATACATAGGTATCTTTAAACTATTTTCAAACGGTGCTAAAATATGATTCAGAAAAAAATCTATTGCAATAAAATCTTAACATGCTGACATAAGTTTAAAGACCCTGTATGCTTCCTTAAAGATCCACCTCACAATATATCTCTCTCATTGTGATCAGAGGAAAGAAAAAACATAACGACTCTCCAACAATAGACGGATGAGCTAGTACGGTGTACCCAAGGTTTAGTTTTGTTTGCCATAGGAAAAGAACAGAGGCAAATATTTGAACACAACGTTAACTGGCTTTTAAAGGCAGGAAAAAAAGACGAGAAAAGCTGAAATCTTTTTTACCGTAACTTGGGAGAAAGCTCTCCGCTATATGCAGATGTCTGGTTTTATTAAAATTTATAACCTTTAACTCAGTATTAACGATTATAAACATTAAATACCTTGATTAAAAAAAGCACGTGTCGTATATCTATTTTTTTCAGAAAATTCTGCAGATAAAAAGAAGGAAAAAAGTTCCTATAAATGTATGTCCTAAAATACTTAGTTTCGGAGCTACAGGGTGTATTTGGGTGAATTTTCAATTCTATTTCAATTTTTTTAAGAATAATTATTAAAGTAACCTCAATATTTGGATAGAAATTTGTGTTTGGGAATATTTGACATGAGAAATTTGGTTTTGATGTTAATATGACTCCTGTTTGTAGGGGGTGCGACCAACATGTGTTTTAATTGTTTTCAAGAGTAATAACCGTTGTAATAACTTTTCGTCTGTACTTGTATAAAACTACTAAGTGAAAAAATATACATTTCCGTGACTTTTTACGTAAAAAATGTCTCTTGGTAAAAATCGCGGGTCAACTTTCGTTTAGCTAAAAACAGTTATTAGAAAAAAAAATTGTCTTTAAAAAGCTACTGTCAACCACAGAAAACACAAATTTTCCTGCGGAAATGCGTAATTTCCAAATTTCGCACTTTAGAATAACTGAAATCTGCTATAAAAAAATACATTGTGCGTTTTATTTTTAATATTTTTCTGAACATATAAACACAAAAATTTTCCTGCGGAAATAAGCTGTTTTCATTTTCTAAGGAAATTGATTAGACTTTAGAATAGCTGAAATCAGTTATACATATAAAAAATAAATATATTTTTGTTTAAAAGCATTCACGAATGGAGGAAAATAAAAATTTTCCTGCGGAAATAAACTGTATCCATTTTCTGAGGAAATTTAATAGACTTTAGAATAGCTGTTAGAAAATACTTTAGAAAAATCAGTTATATAAAAAATAAATATATTTTTTGCCTTTTAGAAGCGTTTACAAACTAAGGAAAATAAAAAATTTCCTGCGGAAATGCTTGATTTTCATTCTCCATTTGTTCCTTATTATATTATCAGGTCTTGTAAAGTATCAGTACCCACGAATTTAGAATTTTTTTGGCAGAGAGTCCTATGCTTATAGAACAGTTTAAAAGAAAAAAATCCTCGGATGAAGCACTTTTGAACCAAAAAAAAATCATTTAAAAGTGTCTAAAATGCTAACCAATCTAATAATAAATCTAATAATATTTTTACAAAATCACCCCCCCAGTTAATTATTAAAATACATATAAACCCTCCACAAAGAAAAGCTAACCAAAGAATCTATATCTTTGGTTAGCTTTTCTAGCTTTTCTAACTTTTCTATCTTTGGTTAGCTAACTTTCTTGGTTCAATCTAATAGTTTTGCACAATCACAGTTAATTATTAGAATATAAAAGAAAACTGTATGATAGCATGATCCAATGATTTTTTGTTTTGAATCAGCCTTATTTACGTAAAGCTTTAATAAAAAACAAGAATAACATTCCGAGGTACTTATAGTTTACAAGAACCTATATTATCTATTCTAGAAGAATTGTTATTCCTCCGAAAGATGTTTTACCCCACCCAGCACCCCTATTCGCTCTCGGGTCACTTAAGCTTCTAAACTGAAAAATGTATGAAAAACAAAGTGCACAAAATGACATTGACACATTTCCGCAGGAATTTTTTTGTGTTTCTTTGCTCGTAAAGGCTCGTATAAAACAAATATAAGTTCATTTTTCATGTAACTGATTTCGGCTATTCTAAAGTCAAAGCATTTTTTTATGTAAAATAAAAATAAAAAATTTCCGCAGACACTTTTTTGTGTTTTATGTTTAGAAAAATGTCTAAAACACACCCCGAAGACTAGTTTTGATGTAACATATTTCGGCTATACTAAAGAAAACTAGAAGGCGTTAGGAGTACAAATATACAAAAAAAAATTGTATTTGTACTCCTAACGCCTTCTAGAACGGATATATAAAGTCATTTTTTATATAACAGATTTCAGCTAAACCGTTTCGCTTTCAACCGTTCTCAAGATATTTAGAATGGAAATAGTCAATACATGTCATTATTGACAAAAAATAAATCGGTTGAGTAGATAATAATTTGAATGAAATAATAAATTTGGGAAATTTTTATTTTTTCAAATTAATTATAAATTTTTCTGCGAAAAATTGTCAATAAGACAGAGACCTTTTTACGTAAAAAACGTCGTAACTGTATATTTTTTTTATACAGGTACGGACGAAAAATTATTACTTTTCAAACCAGTTAAAAATATATAGGTGGCGCCCTCTACAAATTGGAATCATATTGATATCAAAATAAAATTTCTCATCTCAAAAAACTTCCAGACACCAATTTTCATCCAAATACAGTAGAACCCCAATTATCCGAGTCGCAATTATCCGAGCTCCGGATTAACCGATCCAATCTAAAGACCCTGATTATCCGAGGTCGCGCGTCTATCCTCCGTATTAACCGAGCTTCTAAAATATACTATATGGTTATTTACATATTTCCGTTTAAAATCGTTGGGACCGACGGGGAATCCACTTAGCCCGTGTGAGCGGTTCTCCTTATTTATGTTTTTGGACTCTTTTAGGATGTAAATTTGAGTGAATGCAGTTCGTTATTGCGTTCACTACGGAGAAGTAGTATACGTATGTACTCGCATGATTTATCTGGGTGGAGTTCTAGTTAAGTGTATACCAACTGCTTTGTTTAAATTTTCATTTGCCGTATTATAATGGAACGAAACAAACGTAAAAGGTGTGCCTCTGTCAGGTCCCATATTGCAGCAAAAAGCAATAACGATTAGTAAACAATTTCCATAGACAGATAGGTTTACCGGCAGTTCTGGATGGAAATGTCCTGTACAGATTTAAACGAGACAGAAGAAGAAGTAAGTTTATTAGAATTAATGTAAAACTTAAAGGTTGCAAAAATGTGACAAGACAAGACGTTGATGAACGGGTTACAGCAGATGATTTAGAAGAAGAAATATTGAAAAAGAATGAATATTGAAGAAATAGCAAACGCCTTTCGGGAAACCGAAAAATCAGATGACGATAACTATGACGAAGAGGTGGATGAACAGCCTTCCACTAAGATTACCCATCAAGAAGGTTTTGCTTCTCTGGAAACAGCTCTGAAGTTTATCGAACAATAATCAGAGGCAACCCCAGCGGATTTGCTTCTTCTTAACTGGTGGAGAAACATGGGAGCGAGAAAAGGAAGATGCAATATGAAACAGCAGCGCATAGATACTTATTTCACTGTTTTATAATGTGGATAGTATCTACATATGTAGGTACTTATATGTATTTACATGTTAAAAATGTTAATAAACCGTTTGAAGTATATATTGGTGCTTATTTTTTAATAAATCCGGATTATCCGAGTTTTCAGTTATCCGAGGAGGGTAATCCATTCCGGTTATCCGAGGTAACGGGGGGGACCCGTTACCTCGGATAACCGGGGTTTTACTGTATTGACATTACTTCATAAGTTATTTGGAAAAAATTGAAATAAAAATGAAACATCTACACCAGAAACAGCAGCGCATAGATACTTATTTCACTGTTTTATAATGTGGATAGTATCTACATATGTAGGTACTTATATGTATTTACATGTTAAAAATGTTAATAAACCGTTTGAAGTATATATTGGTGCTTATTTTTTAATAAATCCGGATTATCCGAGTTTTCAGTTATCCGAGGAGGGTAATCCATTCCGGTTATCCGAGGTAACGGGGGGGACCCGTTACCTCGGATAACCGGGGTTTTACTGTATTGACATTACTTCATAAGTTATTTGGAAAAAATTGAAATAAAAATGAAACATCTACACCCTGTATCTCCGAAACTAAGCATTTTAGGACATACATTTATATACGAACTTTTTTACTTATTTTTATTTGCAAAATATGCTGCTGAAGTTCCCGAATACAGTGTGGACCACCCTGTATATGTTTGACAAAATTTACTGTACTCTTTAATATTTTTTGGAAATATTTCTCAAACTTCTAAATACACATATCCCTATTAAATTTTACAGGTGACTTCAAACCCCTTTTAAACAATATGTGTTCATTCAAAAATATCGATATACAGGGTGTTTCAAAAAACTTGTGACAACTCTCGTGGGCAGATTCTTCGCGTAAAAATATAATTTAATCTTTATATCAACATAGGTCCGATTCAGCTTTGTTTCATAGCTACATAAGGGGTTAAAGTATTCATTTTCGATTTATTTTAATTTTCTTCCAACTGCTTTTAACTTTTTATTGTAAATCTAAGCTTTTAACGATTTGAATGAAATTTTGAAGGAAACAGTTACTATAAGTGCGATATAGTTAGTTTGATGCTAAAAAAGTGTCTACATATTCACCAGGCACGTGCATATGGGTTATCCGAGGGGTTATCACTGACATATTTTTCTAAGAAAAACTATAGCTACGCAGAATCTGAACGAAACAGAATCCCCTGTATAAAATACCCTGTATAATATCTATATTTGACTAAAAACGATATTTTGATATATCGAAAACTAAAATATGGTAAAATCGAATCGAAAGCGGTGGTAATATGGGTAAATCGTACTTACAGGTAATATTCTATCATATTTGGCACAAAGTTCCTTTTGTTTATCAATGAAGAACTCCATTTTCATACATCTGTCTTTGTGTTCTGTTGGAGTAAGATTGAGCATACCAGTCAAAACTGTTGGAAACCCCATTTGCCTGTAAATAAATAAAATATTGTTTAAAAATCGTATAGTTTCAGAAAACTGGTAAATAAAAAAATGTTTGTACTAGAAATAATATATACCATATTTAACGTGTGTATTTAATTGTATATAATAATATCATTTCAGGATCTTTCTCAGTTACAAATCTTTTGAACGAAATCTCAAAAATAAACATATCCGTCTAAACGATGCTTGTTTAGCCTGTCCCTAAACGCCAATAACCAGGATTTGGAAAAGTAGTGGATAAGTCGGTCTCTAACAAGGGTAGCAGGTGTTTGTACCCATTTTCTATGATTGGAAAAAGGTTTTATCGGTATGGAATTTCATGGCAAATACATAATACTCTTATGTATTTTTTAATATGACTATTGTTTATATATTCTTAATATGACTAAACGGATCAAGTTTTTTAGTTTATTTTTCTTCAACTGGGAATCTAGAAACCTATCTCTCGAATGTACTTTCAAACCTGTACGAGGATAGTTTTAATTTGGATACGGGTGAGCGAGGTGTTTAATTATTTATATATTGTGACCTTTTCGGAAAGTGTACAAGCTCTAAATTAGATATACTAATTAAAAGTAAAATGAAGAGTGTATGCATGGGGGAGGGGAATTAACCACCGCAACCACACAGATCTATTGTGTCCCCTTTTCTTGTGTTATAACTCATCATACAACCTTAGCGTTTTGACAAAAACCAGTATCTGAGACGGTTTTACAGAGGTTAGTTCTCCATCTCCGATATCAGTCGTATAAAAGTTCATGACACGAATGGTTGTCGTCTCGGCGCCCTCAGTGATGAGTGTTCTGGTGTTTCTCCATTTTTGGTCACAAATTCTGCATTCACTGTTGTTTCTTAGCTTTAATCTACGGAGGTGTTCGTTGAGGAGACAGTATCTTGTTAAAAACACTTATTCTTACTTAAATCAATGAAAATCGTTGATTTTTTTCGGTCGTAAGCCCTGAGAAATTTCTTCGAGTGTCTTAGACCGTTAGAGGATTCCAGGTTACGGATGGAGTCTTCCAGATTCTAAAGTTCCGCGTTAAGTTGGGAAGGAAGTTCCGGGAAGCAGAGTGAAGTGAAGTGTTCGCTCCTTTTCTAGCTAGATCGTTTGCTTTTTCATTGCCTTCTATCCCTTGGTGGGATGGCGCCAAGAAGTAGGAGGACTTTATTATATTTGCCTAATTTATTCTCCAGGTATTCTTTGACCAAATTCGAATTCGAACCAACACAAAATGGGGGGGGGGGGATAGTTGGTAACCTTAAATTACTGATACTTCCGATTTTAATTAATAAACGTAAATTACATTTTTCTCAGAGACAACTTTTATGCAATGATGATGTTTTTCCCATGTACCCTTCAATTGTCTTGATATATACTTTGTGGAGACGTTTTAAATCAGGTATGCTGTATAGTTTCTATAATATTTAGTCTAAGGTATCTAGGCAGCTTTTGAATGAATGCCGAAGGTTTTGATCGAGCTAAATAATTGTTTTATGGGTCGTAAAACCGAATAGATTTGTTTTCATTCGGCGGGGTAAACAAAGTGGCGGGGCGTACTACGTAGAGCTGTAAAATTTTTAGTGTCAAAGTGACGGAGCCAAGATTCTGACAGACGACGGACGAGATGCAGATGCCGGCGTTGCGGCGCGCCTGAAAGAATTTTCGGGCGAAGACGCCTCTACTTTTCAAGCCCATAGATATTTTGAATAGTAGATAGAATGTGGATACGCTGAAATAAGGAAATTACTACATTTTAATAATTGCGGAGCACTTTACTACTTTTCAATTTACCGGTAATCTGTAATATAAAACATGGAATTACTGGTATTTGCCGTTCTTTTCCTAGAACTAGCGGAAAAATTTGAAATATAAAAGCACCCAAATAGCATTTTCACGACTTGCGACCACATGTTTACTAAACACAATGTTGGATTAGTTACAAAAAAACAGTTAGCTCCGTACCTTGGGTATTAAAATAAATGTAAACGTTGTTGTAACGTTGTGCCGACGTTGAACTAGTACTACAACAAAGTAAAAGCTTCTGCGACGTCGAATAAACGTTGACTTGTAACCTTTTTTGCTTAAGTGATCTTTAGGTGATTCGGACAACGTAGTTACAAGGTTGGGCAATAATGAGTTTTCCGACGTCACTTTCAGGACCTATTCCAACGTTATACAAACGTCTTCTGTTTTACTAATTCCAACGTTGTTTAGATTTCCTTATTCTTACGTTGGCAGGACGTCGAGCCACTACCTTTTTGCAACTGTATTGAACCATAACCTTAAATCTTAAATTTTCACTTCATTGTTCTGTTCTGTCAGACAGTTCAGTGTTGTTTTTGTTTTTATAAAAAAACTTAATTAAAATGGGACGTAAGGAAGGCACATATAAAACTAAATTTAAATACACATCGACATATGACCGATATTTTATAGAGGGCGGCACAAGCTAGACTCTAGGATGACTAAATTAGGCAATCTTGCGACTAGTATACTACCTGTTAAGGCTGAACTGCGACTTTATTAGTCCAGTATGCGACTACTCGAACTACTCCATCTTAATCTCCAAAACAACAAAGTAAAAGCCACCATGTTGTTGAATAAGAAAATATTTCGTTCCTAAAATAGCAATTCCTGCTTTTTGAATACATTAACTTGAAATATTTAACCCTAAACAACACGCGGAAACAATTTTTTTTCGACTGCGAATAAATTATTCTCATTTTACTAAAAAAAAATTCAAGAAGTTTTTTAAAATTTTTCAAAGTAGAAACAATACATTTATCAATAAAGTTGTTTGCGTTTAACTTTTTTGCCTTGGGTAACGAGTTACAGAGTTGTGGTTAAAGTGTTTCAATAATTATAATCTTCAAACATCCTCCATACTTAAATACTTTTGTTTTGTTTTCCTTTACTGCCATCTGGCCTTTGTCTCTTACTAAATCATAAAAATAATATTTTTACTATAATTATCCCAATTTAGGATAAAACGCGACTTAGACGCCATATTATTATAGTTTTGTATTTCTGTGAATTAGGATTTTAAACAACGTTGCAGTTTGTACTAAATTAGGCTGTTAGCCAACGTAGGTATCCAACGTCGTTTCGGCCCAAAAATTATTCTCCAAACTAGTGCAGACTAGGGTTGGCACGAGGTTGTGCCGACGTTGCACTCCGACATTTGGTTTTTTGCCCAATGTTGTCCCGACGTCCAAATGCTGCTTGGGCAACTTTTATCAAATTAAAGCAGGATTTTCAAATATTTCCTCTAATTCCTTCTTCCGGTAAATATTGCCTTTCTGTTTTCAAGATTTGTATAACAACCCTTTATGTTATACAGGGTGTTTCAAAAAGCATGTGCCATCTCTCGTGGGAAGATTCCTCGCGTAAAAATAAGATTTATTTTTCATATCAACATAGGTCCGATTCTGCTTTGTTTCGTAGCTACAGGGTGTTAAAATCTTATTATTTTTTCGATTTATTATAGTTTTCTTCCAAGTAGTGAGGGTAAAAGTAGCATAATAAGTGCTACATATTTTAATGCTAAAAAAGTGTCTACATATTCACCAGGGACGTGCATATAGGTTATCAGTGAAATATTTTTCAAAAAAGAACATGTGCGCCACTGACTTTTTTCTTTTGATATCAAAATTGTGTAGGCCGTTTAAGGCCAATTAAAAGTTCTTTGAATCTCTTGATATCTTGTCGAACTTGGCCTCCTTGATGAAATAAACGCAATTTTATTAATCACAATTAGTAAAATAAAAATAAAATTAATAAATTATATATTTTATCTAATTTGTTATTCAATATTTTTACCATTAGTTATTACTATTAGTTGAACCTACAGCAATTTCATCAATCAATCAATCATAATCAATTTATCTCATCAAGGCGGCCGAAATTAACAAAATATCAAGAGACAACTTTTAATCGGCATTAAACTGCTTCCACTATTTCGCTAACAAGAGAAAAAAGTCAGTGGCGTACATTCTTTTTTTAGAAAAAGATTCCAGTGATAACCCATATGCACTTCCCTGGTGAATATGTAGATACTTTTTTAGCTTTAAAATATGTGGCATTTATAGTAACTTTCACCCTCAAAATTTCATTCGAAACGCTAAAAGTACTTGGAAAAAAATTATAATAAATTAAAAAGATAATCAGACATCCTGTCGCTACGAAACAAAGCGGAATCGGACCTATGTTGATATGAAAAATAAATCTTATTTTTACGTGAGGAATCTCCCCACAAGAGATGGCACATGTTTTTGAAACATTCTGTATAAACTATTCAAAATAATTATGGCATTTTTTTTTAAATAAAATATTAATTTGGAAAATAAGACTTGGATTGGAATTACGTTTTTAAATAGTTTAGATCATAGGTTTAGATACAGTAAAGAGGAACATACTCGAAACAAAAAGCCTACGCGCTGCCATGTACTTTTTAGTCAGCCGACTATTTAGTTGCAAAAGTGAAAACAATTTATTCTTATAGAGCCGATCGGCAGACTATAATGACCTATATAATATAGACTATACCGGGTGCGTCTCAAAAGTGTCACCCCTATAACGTTTTTATTTCTTCAAATAAAAACGAGATTTGGTATGTTAGTATATGACATAAATTAGGATTGATTGACGTTTTCAATTGTTTTCGGTCACTTCCTGTTTCACCGGAAATGACTACAACTTTTGGTTTTTAAATGGCACTCTCGGTATTTTTTTACTTTATTCATACATCATATGTTAACCCCCTTACACTACCCAGTAGTGGTTGGGTTGTATCTGCCTATATTAAACAATCTTCTATCTGTTTTTAATTTTATAGGTACATTTAGTACGACGCCGACGTTGCCGAATCTACAAAAAATTCTTAAATATTCCTAAAAATAAGAACCATATTACTTTCTTTCCCAATAAGTTCGGGGCAATGTTGTCGAATCTACGAAAAAATCCTTAAACCCCCTTTAAAAATAATA